TGATTCGCATGCAATTAATTTAATTAATTAATCACACTTTGTATGAAAATTTGGCTGTGCCTTATATAAGTGATTTCTGATTGCACTTGTGAAGTATATAGCGGCTCAAGAAAAACGACGTGTAATGGATGAAAAATCGACGTCTTTTGGATCATCCAAAAAATTGTACATTTAAGTCGATTTTTTCATTGACGGCGATATTGGTTACGTGGGCTGTTTTTCTAATCTTTACTACAGCATCAAGAAGAGCGAAGTAAAATTATCGATTTATGAATAAGAAGAAAAAAAGATATATTTATGCATTGAATTACGTATTTATGTAGTTTTCATATAGCTGTAGAGACAGTTAGTCTAGAACATGCTCCAAGAGAATCCTTCAAGTTGAAGAACTTCAGAATTGAAGATGACTTGAATGGCGCTTTTATTTGCTTGACTGTTATGTGAAGCATGAAAGCTTATAGAAATCAGACTGATTTATATGCAAGAAGCTTTTACATTTCGAGTTCTTATCTTGATTTTAGGATTTTTAAGTGGATTGTCAAGAGACAGCTGTGAAATACTTGCATTAAATTTGGATTTTAAGTTGATTCTTTCTTTTTGAGCAAAGGCACAGACAACAAAACTTTTTAGAGGCAAAATCCATGTTTGGTTGGCTTGATTTGTTTTTGGTTTTTTAAGCTACTTCCTCTCAAAATCCTCTTTTACATGGATTCAGTTTGAAACAAGGGTGCGGAACTGATACATTAAATTATGATAATTTTTGATAATTTCATGAGTATCACATCCTTGGTCTGAAAGCCTAAATTGACGCTTAATTTGTCTAATTCTAAGCAGGTTAAATGCGCTATCTTTCTGCACAACCAAAATGTCATTACTTGTTCATGCTATATATTCTAAATCCAACTGCCTTTACGTGAATAAAGCTACATCAACACAACTTCATGTAAAATCAATAAATTTCACTCCGACCCTTAAAATTCATCCAGAACTCAAATTCAAATTTACTCTCCCACACACCATTATCCCCCCCAATTCCCCCAAAAATTGCCATCAAATCCCATCAACATGTCATATCCATTCCGACACACAACAGCCAATAACACATCATCCCAAAGTCAAAAGCACATACAGCACACCGAAAGACAGAAAGGAAAGTGAAATAAGGATGATAAGAGAAAAGTTATGTTGTTTTCCTTTTGCTCTCTTATTTTTTTTGCATCATACAAAAAAAAGTAGAATTTACTTCCCATCCCTTCCACTCTATCTCCATCTCACTCATTTGTTTCCTCTTATCGTAGAGTAGAAAATTATTATGATTTAAGTATCTATAAACATTGAGATATACTTTTTTTTTAAAAAAAAGGAGGAAGTAATAGTAAGAAGTAAGTAGCAAAGCATCATCATCATCAGCATCATCAGTGGAAGCAAAATATATAAAATTTCAGTCAATATTTGATACTGTGAGATAGAAAAATTACATATATGAATTTGGATTTTGAGAAGATGATAAGGAAGCGAGCAACTTCCGTTTTCTATCTTACGGCATGATTTCTTCTTACTACTTACAACCTGACATATATTTTTATGATTTTAATGATGTCGCTCATACCTCTCATGTTGAAAAGAACTGTTATGTGTACAGAGAAGGACCTGGGATTTTTTTGGAACCTAATATACTTTTTTTCGTGTAGGTGAAGGTGTTATGGATTCAAATTTTGAAACGAGGACATGATTCTCTGTCTATAGGCAAGGTTTGAACACCAAAAATCAATGCTTGAATCAAGGATGTGGCTAGAAGTTATTAAACGGACGGGAGGTTATGCAAAGAGGTTTTGGAACTCCATTAAAACTAAATTGGAATTTATTGGTTATTTTAAATAAGAAAAACGTGGTAAAAACCCCTTCTTCTCCTAAATACATCCCTCCCTGCAAGTATGCTTTTACAGGCAATGATACACAGGAGAAGATAAGCTTTTTATTATTATGCTGCTTCTTATTCCATTTCTTTCTCTAATTTTCATCTGTGATTGTATGAATTGAGTTTTATGTACGTACATATGTATGGAGCAAATGAGGACGACTTGAAAACAAAAAAAAAACAAATGTATTCAGCAGTTATTGTTGCAATATTTTCATTCCACTTTTTCTCTCTCAACATAACAGTGAGTTATGTATGGCTCTTAGTAGCATTGTATGTGAGATGTTGATGCCTGAATGAAAGCGGAAGGAAATTGCGAATAACACAAATAATGTATTGTGTCAATAATGTTATTATTCAACAATATATTGTATGAATAAATGGCGTGTGGAGGAAAAAATATGATGTGTGAATGATAGAGATTCCTTGGGAGAAAGTCACGTTGCCAGATTTTTTTATAGCTCTTGATTTTATTTCGTGGAATTTTCTTGGAAATTTTTGATGGAGGCAATTTGGATTCTATTGATAAGGGTGGCATGTGAATGTTAAATGAAGATTGAATCTTTTTTGCTGTTGAGCATGACAAATTGATCAGCTTGAGCCTTAGACTTCAAAACTGAGTGCTTCTGGATATTTAATGTCGTTGGTATTTTAGAAAACTTTTTTCTTAGCAATGACTTAGTAATTTGGCTTTCGGTGAGAAACGAACACACATCTTTACGAATAAAGGCTACTCGACCGTATGTCCTTTTTGCACACATGCAGATTCGCGTTTAAGACATTCAGAGATTCAATATTGAACACTTCTTACAAGTTCCTAAAAATTCTACCAAATCTGAACACAAAAAGTATCCCAAAAATCTTAAGGCCTTCATAAAAATCTCCCAAATCAACATCCATGACAAATGCCACTCTATTAATCCAAGACAAAGATCTAAATCATCCTAATATCCTGTCAAAATATCAATTTCCCCGACTCTATTATGTCAATCTTAATAATAACTAGAACTATATCCAGAAACTGATGACAGCATTAGACATCATTCCCATTATGGATTAAACTAGGAAAGATAACGATTTTTTGAATACGCCGCAGCAAAAAACAAATCTCTGCAAGGAACAAAGAACAGAATTTACACAAAAGATGCCTCCCAACATTGTTTCTTATAGAAATAAAATAAAGGAAATAAAAATGTTGTTCTATGTCTGTATAAAAGCTATAATTAGGCTAATGAAAGTAGCATAGAGTAAAAATATGCTTATCCATCACAATTTTTTTGTTGCTCACCCCTCCCCACTCTCCCCACCTACTTCAGTCTACATCTTTCTTTCCTTTATATTATTGATTTTTTTCTCATGCTGTGCCAAAGCTCCCTTCAACATTTCTTTTTTTTGTGAATCGTACGGTATAAACATACACACATTTATATCAATGTGCCGAAAATAGGAAGGAATTGAGTGTAAGAAAAAGTATATAAAAAATTTCATTTAACATTTTTGTCGCTTTTTTTATCATTTTGTTATCAGTCTCAGCTGATACATTATTCAGTCTAACATAAACGTTGACTTACATTTTTCTTTACTTATATGAATGGAACTATTGAATTATTGTCTGGTTACAATTTTTTTTTTGGAAGGGATTAACCATAAAACTACATAAGGATGGAGGCACATTCATGTTGTGACGTATCTTACATTGAATTTAGGTCATAAACACGAAAATTGTTATGTTGTTAAATTAATTTTATGAATAGAATTATGGTTGTTATTATTTTTATTGTTATGGTGAATCCTGGAGTTGGGAAATGTTGTCATATCCTGATTTGGGATTGGGGTAAGTCGAACATGTTGGTGGGAAATTATAGCAATTTTTTTATTTGGCTTGGCTAATTTTTTGAATGCTTTTTTTGGGGAAAGTTTATTTTTTCAAAAAAAAAAAAATAGTAGATAATTTAAAAGCAAACCGTGGAAACTATCCCAAATATCCCATTGATCTTAATTACCCTGAATATCCTAAAAATATTCAAAATAATTGCTGAGCCTGTGGACATTAAAATTGAGATATCACAACGAATCTTAAAATTGTATGGCCAATACATAAAGGTCTAGTTTCCACGCCTTGAATAAAACGGAGGTTGAATCAAGGATGTGGTACTGATGAAATGATCAAAAATGATCAAAATGGAATTTTTCGGTTCCGCACCCTTGGGTTGAATAAGGTTAAGCTTGATTTTGAGAATATGATCTATTCATAAATGATTTCTTTTAACAAAGTGAAATTTTGAAAACCTTTTGTCACACATTTTTTGATACAATTAATTTCTTTAAAACAATGTCAATGCCACACAGCGACAGACTCCTTTCCCTGCCCAAATTTGGACATTATTAGGAACCATACATGACAAAATAATATCTAAAAATACCGTAAAAATTCTGAGCTTTAAAGCTGCATGAACTAAGTGCTCAAACATTCTTTTTTTTCATCCTTAAACACAATATTAAAATAAATAACTTTATCAAACATTTAAAAAATATTAAATTAAATTTTAAAAATCAAAAAATACTAATTTGAGTTGATTTTTAAATTCTGAGCAACATCCCGAACCGATATCAATTCTATTGTTTTTAAGGCTCATCAAAAATTCAAAAATCATAAAAATAAAAACCTTACTTTAGAAAGATCACTTGCCACATGACAAGGTAACCAAATCAAGACAGTGACAAAAAAAAAATATAAAAAATCATATTTGCTACTCAGCTGTCATGAAAACACACAATTCACATGCCTGAAACATTTCTTTTCAACTCCACAATGCAATTTTGTCGGATATTTTTGGCACAAATAAATGTCTTTATTTTTACATCTCACAATTCATCCTTTTATGTCCATTTCCCTAAATTGTTTTCGAGAGAACAGCTCGAGGATTATTGAATGTTTCGCAGGCAATAACAAAAGTAACAATAATCAATATTGCTATCGAGATGTTTTTTTGTTGGTATATTTATATTGTTATGACTTGCATGACATGTCTTACATGTGTAGGATTATTAGATAAATTAATAGATAATGACGAGAATTTACCTGATTTTGTACATTAATTGTGAGAAGTTCCGCACTTCCATATAGAATTATTTGTAGAAAATAAATTATTTTTTGTATTTTTACTGTTGTTAAATGCATTTTGGATTTTTTTTATTATTTTATTTTCTATTTACAAACACTTTAATTCACTTTATATTTTCACAAAATTTTTTTCACATTTTCTTCCTTTGCAATTTCCCGAAAAAAATTTTTTTTTGTTATTATTATTATTTTTTACTCTCCCAGTAATAATTTTTTTGTTGAGTATAAATTTTTTATTTATTCTTGTATCACTGCATTATGGCAATCATTAGGCTCATTTTTGCAACAATCACGACTTATTTCACATCGTGCACAATACAGAATGACTTGATCACTTGGAATTGTTGCTTAAAATCACAAAACACAAACTTTTTCACCGATTGATAAATAAAAATTGAAATGAGAACCGAAAAAATTCCGTCTTGTCTTTATCAATGCTATTTTTACAATAGACTGATGAGAATATGAGGGTGACGGCTGTAAGTTCCGTTTCGAGATTGTGGGTTCGAAATTTTGAATTTTTCTGAGCCGTTATGAAAATATGAGGTGCTGATTGTGAAGTTGTGCAATTTTTGAGAAGTTGCTGCAATCTTTTCTATTGATCCTATCTTAATCCTTTTGTAAAACCATTCTAGCTATGATTTGGCGCCAAAATCTATATATCAATAATTTTTTAAATTTTAAAAAATAAAAAATATTTCATACTGAACAAAAATTTTTGTTTTCCTCAAAAACCCTCAAATGTTCTCAGAAAAAACCTTCAAATGTTCTCATATTTGATGAGATTCTACATGCTGTTGACTTAACACGTGCGATCTACAAAAATTATCCATTCAAAGATTTATGATTAATATAATTATCGCATGGAAAATATCAAAAAGAAATTATAGTCATATTTTTTTTGTAAATAAGTTGATTGATTGCTGATAATTTATAAAGCATGACAATCTCATTCAAATGAATCAAATATGTGTATGGTGTGTAATTAGTGCTGCTATTTAAGTTCTATGGCAATTATTAATTGGCTTAATTAAATGATGCAGTATCGACTGATTAATAATTATGTCGATTTATATTAATTATTGGGAAATTATTTCTTAATGGTGTGGGTTCTTTTGATATGTTGTGGCTTTTTTTGTGTGACACTTGGTTGTGTGGTGGAGGAAAGAGCGATGAAGTTGAGAAATAATTCATTGAATTTGAGATTGTGAATTTAAATTGACATTACAATTAATTTTTTACGATGTATGTAACTAATTTAGGAGGGGATTGTGGAGGGGTGTATTAATGATTACCACTTGAAATGATCATTTCAGACATCACAGTGCCTGAATCGTAACCTTGGGTTGGACCTGCTATTGAAAGATGGAGTTCAGAATTTTCAATTCTTTAAAAAATATTCCAAATCAAATTGCAAGCTTGTTGGGCTAGGAACGTATGGCCAAACCTGACCAGACACCCTTTTTTATACCAATAATTTGACATCAGTCCTGAAATTATTAATTTTAAATCTTCAAAAAATTATTTCAAAAAAATGTTTACAATTTTTCAAATCCATTTTTATTGATTCAATATAGATTTTTAAGTAAGTATCGACAAAAAAAATGTTTTCTATCTTAAACCTATTAGATGCTTAAGACAAAAATTTATTTATATATCTTCGAAGAAAAAAAAGGAGGTTTGTTATTCTAATCTTCATTTCATATATATATTCTCATCATTTTCATTTATATTCAAATTTTCCAATTTGCAAAAGACAAAAAGTAATTTCTTTTCGGTGTGTGTAAAATTGAAGGCGCATTAATTTTTTGCAAAATATATTTTTTTTTATCAATATAGGAATCGTTATGGCATTAATAAGACATCAATTATATCTCTGTTATCAATTGCACTTTACATGTTTTTCTTTTATTTTTTTTTTACAAATTTCATTTTAAAAATAAAGTTTTTCAAGGCATTCAAAGTCACTTAGCTGAGAAGCTTTATTATGGCAAAAAAATTAACATTAAATTAAGCATCATCGTATATTGAAATAAAGAAGAAGTTTTATAAAGAAAAAAAAATTTTAATAAAAATTGTATACTGAGTTTTTTTCACTTCATTTTGTCATTCCTTAAATTATTTAACTGCACATTTGTTTTAAAAATATTTATTTAAATTTTATTCGTCGAGATCAAAACCATCAAATTCATAATTTTTTTATCATATTTTATTTTACGTATGCCTAAGTTGAAAAAAATTATTGTAATGATTGAAGGATTAAGTCAAGCTTCTTATCCTCTAGAAACAATTTTTTTCATAGAATTTTTTTAGAGTTTCTCGATAAAAATTTTAAATTTTTTCTCTCATTTTGTCTTAAAATTTATAAAAAAAAACATTTTTTATATAAAAGAATTTCTTTTCTCATTTGAACTAAAATATAAATCAAATTTTGTTTTAATTTCTTTTGAATTTTTATTGGAATTAAAGGGTGTGGGTTGTGTGGAATATAATTTTATTGACTATAGATCAAATGCTATAAATGGGTCCCTGCGCCTCATAGGAGTCACTTCAGAAACTTAGCCAGGAGGGTCTGGATCAGCCTTTAAATTTTGAACCACACTGTTGCTGCGGTTCAAAACTTTTAAGGAGGTCCAGCCCGTCCATACGTACAGGAGCCCCTAGATCACTTTAAAATGAATGACAGAGGCATCTTAATGTGCGAATATTACTTTATTGAGAACGTGAGTTCGATTTTCATTAAATTAAACTTAAACTTAACCATATAAGATATATGGACTTATGAAGCGTCAAGTTTCAAATCTTAAAGGTCTGTAGGAATCTTAAAATAACTGCAAACTAGCCTAAAATGATGACAACAATCATGGAGCTTAATATATTGATGACATATGCCACCAAGCAGTTCAGCAGCTAGGTTTTGTTAAATTACTATGCTTATAAAGGCAAATAGTAGACAATTCATACAAATAGATTCGAATAAACCCAACTCAATCTATATTCTCACTTAAAATCACCAATTAGCTTAATTCCAAACATTCATCACAACCCCCTTTAATCCATCAGAAGTCAACTTCCATTGCAAATGCACATTTTATTTATAAAAAAATTTCAATTTTCATTTCATAAAAATTTCAATCAATATAAAAAAAATTTTAATAAAAAAGTCACATTTTGTGTCAAGAAAAGGTTTAATAAAAATCAAGCACCAAAAGGCTAAATTTGAATTTTGGAAGAACAAAAGTAAAGATTATAATTTTTTTTTTCAACCTCCACGCGGAAGTTTGCTCAAAATTAAACAAGTGCAAATGTGAAAGGCAAATCAAAAAGATTGTTTCAGTTTAAATCTCAATTTTTTAGAAGCAAGAAATAAAATTGTGCAGAAAATGTCTTTTCCATCTCTTACATGCTAAACATCCAAAATTAAAGTTGGGCATCTAAATAATTTCTTCATTTTAATTTCACTGACTGGACCAAACCAGGATTCTCATTTTTATATCTTACAATTGGATTTAAATGTTTCTTTTTGTATCCTGAATGTTTACGAAGCATGAAAGTCAGTAGCTGATCAATACTGCATAATTTCGAGTTGCTTTGTCTAGCTTCCCATCCTCGCACCATTCAGGACACAAAACTTTGTGTTTTTTTTTCGATTACAAACTAATTAGAAATTAATTTCGAGAACATTTTTATGAAACTGAACTAATAGCATTATGTGGTGAGCCCATTTGAATGAGAACCTTATCAAGCCATTGAAGTGGACCGTGCAGATGAATCTCAATCCAACACGGTGTTGATGTGACATCTTGACGATGATATTCAGCTCCCCATCCTTTCACAAAACTCATTCGGATTGTACACATTTTTGTCAACTCATAGACAGCTTCAAAGCCATGATTGACTGATTGTGACAATAGCTGCGCGAATTCCTGATTATTAAATATTTTCAATGAGCATCCAGGTGGAATTTTACAAACGGTACTTGGATGAAAGCCATGATGATGATTACAATTTCTTGATTGAACGAAAATAGCTGAGTCTGATAAACATTCGGCATATACTTCACCGCCGACGTAGTAGAGATGTACACCTTTGCCTATATGTCGTCGAGTATTCTCAATCGTACTGTTTCGATTCACATTACTCAATTGTCCCAAACAGAAGCGATCGGAATTGTTGCTCGGATTTGTAAAGCCATCGACAATGATTGACGTTGAGTTACAATGAAAGACTTCTCCGACGCGACAATTTAATTCATAATATGCAATACTGGCCCAATATGGTGGCTCTTGATAACTTACTGGTGCAACTTCACTCATATTTGTATCCATTGGTTGATCCTGATTACCGTTATTATTTCCATTGTCTTCCGGCGGACTATACGCAGGCGGTGGAGTCTCTGCTAAATAGGGACTTTGAGGATTTGAATTTACAGGTCCCGGACTGGAAATTGAAGACATTGGAGATTGTGGTGCCATATTATGGGGCGATAGAGGACTTTGTGGACCACCCATATGTGGCGATCCGAAGCCAGACGCTGAATACTGGACATTATGTGGCATTGTTGGTTCAATCATTTGATGCATTGGCAATAGTGAGTGTCCTGGTGCAAATTCAGAATGACGTGGAACCAAAACCGGTGGTAAAACAGGACTTTCGACACGCTTATAATGATAAGGATTTATGCAAACTTCTTTTTGTTTTGCACTAAATGGAAACTGACATGATTCTATTGGCTTTAATTCATGATGACTTTGGAGATCAGGCCAACGCCATACACGACAATAAATGACATGTGGCAAGCCTTTTCGATGTGATACCTGAAAATAAAATTAATTTAAAATGATTATTATTTAATCTTTATGTGACAAATTTTGCGATTATTTTACCTGTAAACGTCCGTCTAATGATCGTGGAATTGTGACACATTTTGATGGCTGTCCTGGACACGAAAGTGCTCTTTCAAGCTCCTCAATGGCTCCTTTCCGTTTCTTAAGCTTCTTTACTAAGCTATCGACAGCCTTCTCAGCCCATTTCTCTTCCTCATCGCCCTGTTTCCATCCCAGTAGCTTCTTCACTGCCGGACTTGTAAATGAGAAGAGGCTATTCAAACTTGACATGGTACTGCTCGTAGATGTCTCAACATCGTCATCCATTTTACGAACTTTATGATAATATACTGTAAATAACAAGAAAAGGTCTTTTGTCACGTTTAATTTATCAAGACAAAATGTCTACGACTGTAAATAACAATCTTGTGTATGTGATTCGATTCAATTGATCTAGTATTGTCGATTTATTCGTGCAATTCTATAAATACAATATTGTAACTGATAAATCTTACATTTCGACTTTAACATCTTTTGTTTTTGTTATTTCTCTCTTTATAACTTTCACAGCACAAATATTTCTTTTGAAATCTTCTAAAGTTAATTAAAGAATGAGATCGTGTGTCTCGAGTAGCAACTAAAAAAAATCTTTAATTCTTTTTTTTTGCCTCTCTCTCGAATTTCCTGCTACTCTCAAATTTAAATATTTTTAAAGAAACTTTTTTTTTAGCTTATTTTGTTGTTATTATGAGAAATTTGATAAGATTTTGTACACTTTGGAGAATATGTTATCGGGGATGAATGATTTATTTACTCAAACTTGACTGTAGACAACATTAATGTTTTATTTTTGTATAGTCGCTTGGGTTAACGTCTCTTTATAGCTTATCATCGTTTATAGGTGTGAAGCATTTTGATTTTATATTCTTTTAATTGAAATGAATGCAAAAGGTTACAAGATTATTTGTGAGTGGATAGGAAGCATTTTTTTGGAATTGAATTGTTTGTTGAAACTTTTGTTTGACTGAGAGTTATTGAGAGGATATTTGGAGTGCTTAGGTAGTTATCTAGAAGTTTTGAGAGACTTTTGGTTAAATTGCTTAAGTTCTACGAATTCCATAGTCTATATCTTTTGCTCTTAGGCTAGGTCTCATCAAGATTTAGGACATAGTTTTGCAGTGCAACTCTATTGGTTCGGATTCCACAATAAACTGTAGGTCTAAAGGGTGTGGTACAATAGATTCTGTTCTAATTTGAATTGCAGTGCCTCCAGCTCAAAAGAGCTGGGCCCTTTCCATGCTTAAACTTTTTTATCTCAGATTCTTGGGTTTAAGTAACAAAACGTTGGACTTTTCAAGGATCTAATATACTTAAAAGCTCGAAATTTACAGAAACTATTCATTAAGTACTTAGCAAACTGTCTTAGTCTATAGAAGTTATATAGTACTAGCACAGATCTTGACTAAGCCAAGGTTATCCTTCAAACTCTTTATCACAACTAGTCATTCAAGATTCCAGCCATATTCATCCAAAAAATGCGCTAAAAATCATTTTTATGTAATTTTTTTTCATCACATTATTCTTAAGTGTAAGACTAGCTTTTGAAATTCTTTGGCATTATAAATAGTTAAGAATTAGATACAATGAGAAGACTATTTTTTAAGGAAGACGCCTAAAATTTTTATTATTTATTTCTTTTTCGTTGTTCAGTCGCTATGCTTTGCGCGTTAATATTAAGCAATTATTAAGTCACATTTAGAAAAAGAATTAACGACCTTTGACAAAATGGAAAGTCCTTGGAGTGAATAATTTTTTGTTTAAAAATAAATCTCTTCAAAAATTATTTTTAAAGAAGAAGCGAACGAGACAAGATACTTGATACTGTAGTATGAATAAGTGAATCTTTTTCAGTCTATAAAATACTTGTCTAATATTAAGTGGAATGTTTGGCTATAAAAAAAAACATGTAAAGAATTCTTTTCTTGCTTGCTAATACACTGGTGGAAATTGAAATGAGACACCCATGTTTTTTATGTGAAAGTCTTACAAATGAAAGATTAAGCCTTACTTGTTGTATATCATTGGAAAGGACTTTAAAAAATAACTTAAGTACAGGAACAATGTACTGACTGAAAATGTAGCAGTTTAAAGTTATTTACAAAATATGATTTTTGAGGTGGAAATTGAAATGAGACACTTTAGAAAAATTTACAAAAATCTTCCTCAATTTTGACTTTGACTATACATATTGTATATAGACTTGTAGATTTTTATTTTCTTAACAATACTAGAGCATTCTAAAAAATTTTGGAACTTCCAATCATCTAATATCCTCAAGAGAAAGTAGTGAAAGCCAGGTTTTTTGTTTTCATCAAATATTTTTATGAATAATCATCTATTAATAACAAATGAAATCTAAATATGTAGATTTTTAAATGCTCTTTCAGATAAAGAATTGATATTTACCTCAACATAAGCTTAAATGACAAAAATTAATTAAAATGCTTGTAACGAGTGAGTACGGATATGAAAAAATTTATTTTTCTCTTATTTTGGTTAATCAAAAAAATCTGAAGTTTTCAGGACATATTCTGCATTGCCTTTACTATAAGTTTTTAATGCCATATATTTTTTACCTCCATCCATAAACGCTAGGATTAACCTTTAAGTCATGATGAAATCCCATAATATCAAATTCCATAAATTTTTCACATTATTAATGCAAAAATTCAAATAGAAAAATTCCGTTAAAATTTTCTTATTTTTATCAATTATTAATATTTTATGCACATAAAACGTATGTATGTAACATTTAGAGAATCATGCACTATGTTTAAGATGCTATAGTATCCTTATAATTTCAGGACAATTTAATTATTGTTTGTTTACATCATTAATTTTAGGCTAGAAAAAAGATGCAAAAATAAATTCAAAAATTTTGACCGTTACAAAAACACTAAAACCTAGTATAATTAAATTATGCTGATAGCATAATATCTTAAAGATAGTGCATGACTCTCTAAATGTTACATAAATACGTTTTATGTGCATAAAATATTAATAAATGATAAAAATAAGAAAATTTTAACGGAATTTTTCGATTTGAATTTTTGCATTAATAATGTGAAAAATTTATGGAATTTGATATTATGGGATTTCATCATGACTTAAATGTTAATCCTAGCGTTTATGGATGGAGATAAAAAATATATGGCATTAAAAACTTATAGTAAAGGCAATGCAGAATATGTCCTGAAAACTTCAGATTTTTTTGATTAACCAAAATAAGAGAAAAATAAATTTTTTCATATCCGTACTCACTCGTTACAAGCATTTTAATTAATTTTTGTCATTTAAGCTTATGTTGAGGTAAATATCAATTCTTTATCTGAAAGAGCATTTAAAAATCTACATATTTAGATTTCATTTGTTATTAATAGATGATTATTCATAAAAATATTTGATGAAAACAAAAAACCTGGCTTTCACTACTTTCTCTTGAGGATATTAGATGATTGGAAGTTCCAAAAATTTTTAGAATGCTCTAGTATTGTTAAGAAAATAAAAATCTACAAGTCTATATACAATATGTATAGTCAAAGTCAAAATTGAGGAAGATTTTTGTAAATTTTTCTAAAGTGTCTCATTTCAATTTCCACCTCAAAAATCATATTTTGTAAATAACTTTAAACTGCTACATTTTCAGTCAGTACATTGTTCCTGTACTTAAGTTATTTTTTAAAGTCCTTTCCAATGATATACAACAAGTAAGGCTTAATCTTTCATTTGTAAGACTTTCACATAAAAAACATGGGTGTCTCATTTCAATTTCCACCAGTGTATGCCTTACGGACTTTCCGTCAAGAAAATGAAATCAATCTTTAATCATGCTTCATAGTATCACTCATTTCAAGATGATCAAATTAAAATATTTTTTTTTTCAGCTCTCTTTTCTCTCGAAGTTGATTTTATTGCAGGAGGGATCATTCACCTTTGACGTCTTTAGAAAAATGGGATTTTTAGACCCCCCTCTGCTCTTAACTTAAAATTTTCATATTGAAAAATAATTTTTTTTTTCAATTATTATGAATACGAGAAGCATCTAGGAAGAATCTTGGGTATCGATGTAGGCAAATCTGCAAGTACGAGAGTAAGGCCTCTATGGCACAAATGGTTTAGAAACAGATCGGATATCTGTAATCCTGTTTTGTGAGGATGTGGGTTCGATTCCTATCAAAGATCGATCTCTCAATCATTATATAGTGTTGGAGATATGACAAGGATTCGAACAAATGCTCACAACATTACAAGTACAATAGACTTAGATTACGCAAATCTATATTAAAAATGCATTCGTCCTCACTTAAAGATCTCGAAAAAGTATGCAAATGTCATTATTATATTAAGAATTGCATACAAATTTATTACCATAAGAATTTGTTCTTATCAAATTCAAAATTTATAAGTCTCGGTTTTTCCCACGCAACCTCCCAAAAAATTACCCAGCTCTCAATAAAATGTGAAATTTCTAGAAATTCCATAAAAATATAGCAAAAAAAATCAGACTGATTATTATCGTGCAAACAACATTTTTATGCCGAATCAATCACACTCGAAACATGAGCCAATAAGATTACTAATAAGTTCATTAACTAGTTCAACTAGATAATAAATTCCAATCTAATCGCTTATTAACTAATTTAATGATTAATTAATCTTATCATCCAGTCAACAAATCAATCAAAAACATTAGCTACTGCAACATTATTTATATCTAGTCCAAAGTGAACATTGTTGCAGATTTTACGCTCGCGATGCAATTCGAATTGTGTGTCGAATAATAAAATCAAATACAAACCATTAAAATAATTTGCCATCGTGTCACGTTAATTTATATGCTTCACTTTTTTTCCCTGCTCTATCTCTCTCACTCACTCACACTTAATGCTCTTACGATAACGGAATTTAATAAAAAATAATATTTCTTGCAACTATAATGTATTTTATGTATGGTAGGTCGATAAATAAGTAAAACAACTAATCAATTCATTTATATCAATTGCAAGCGAGAGATTAATGAATACTAAGTGCAAGATGTAAAATTAAATTAATTTGTTACAACTAAAAGGAGGAGAGATAGTGAGCGAGAGTAACAAATAGATGAAAATCGTCTATGTCGGGTATTAATGAATAAAAGAAAGAAAAAAAGTCATTGCACAATTACACAAATGAAATACAAGCATAAATGTTATCAATTAATTAAAGAAAAATTTTATGGCGCACTTAAAATTTTAAATTTGATTATTTCTGTCGTTAAGACGTGCCTGAAATGGGATTTTAAAAAGTTTATAAAAATGAATATTCTGTTTGGACCACCCTAACTGTAAACTGATGCTTATGGTAAACAGCAACCCACGATAAACATTTCAGGGAATTTTTGCCTGACTCAAGATCGAGTTTAAAATGATTCAACAGCAACTGCAACGATGATCGACCTTGAGATTATTATTTCTGGGTAAAAGTTATGAAATGTACAAAGATCAACAAGTATGAGTCAATAGAAGTTGGGAATTTTTTTGTTGGATTATCTGTTAACTAGTTGCTGAATTGGCAATCGGTGCCTTTAATAAATGCTTTGTTCTTGGCCGACAATGTCTATTGGCGGTTAGAGTCTTATGGTATTTAGTTTGCTGTTTTTGTCT